AGCACAGACGAATTAGGACAAAGGAGAAAACAAAGATGGCAAAAGTTAGGTTGAAGAGTAAGGCTCCCATGCAGAGAACGCTGACCATCTGGGAAATGGCCATAGAGTTGACGGAGAACGGCAGTGAGCTGCTGTGGCTAAAGAGGTAGGTGAGGGCCAGACAGCAACATGGATGACATGTTAAGAGCCATGGGCAGAGAGGGATGGGCTTCAATCAAGTCAGCAGGATGATCAGATTTGTGTTTTGTGTCTTTAAGATGGTTTTCATGTGAAATGAGAATAATAAATTGGAAGAATGCAAGAGTGGAAGCAAGGAAAAAGAGAGGGGCTGATATAATACAATCAGTGAACAGGAAAATGGCCTGAACAAAGAAGTAGAGAGGGATGGATAGACACTAGTTCTTTGGAAAGTGGTACAGTCAGGACTTGGAGACTGAACAGGCATAAGGAGAGAGAGAGAGAAGTCAAAGACAATGACCAGCATTCTGGCCTGTGCTGATGGGTGGGTGGAGCTAGGAGTGGAAGAGTGAAAGCTGGTTTTGTGAAAAAAAAATGTCAGTTGCAAGTGACAGTGGAACATTAGAGTGAAGATGTCTGGCAGATGGGGCAATGTGGTCATCAGCATCCACAGAGCTAAAGAGTAAGTAGAGTGAGAAGTGGGCCCAGGGGTCTCCAACATAATAAGAGGCAGGCAGAGGAAGGAAGATTGAAAAAGATGAGGAAAGAGCAGCCCCAGAAGCAGGAGGAAAACCAGGAGAGCAGGCATGATGGACATCAAATAATGAGAGCATTTCGAGAAGGTGGTCAGTTTCCACAGCTGCCAAGGAGACAAAAAAGACAAGGACTTAACATAAAGTTTCTCACGACCCTGGCAAAAACAGAGGCGGTGGAGAACAGTGGGAGTAAAGGGTGTAATTCTAAATCTTTTGCCAGCAAAATTACAAATGACTACCATCTAGATGTTGAGGATAATTTGTGAAAAGCAAACCACAAAACAACCTCTAAACATGTGATAACAGATGAAGCAGAAAATAAGTCTTATAATTTATTTACAAAGCACTATCAACCATCCATCACCATAGGATATGCTTAGTGCCTGAAATTCTGAAGGGAAAAATATACAACACCCGAACAAAAGTGAAATCCCTAAAATAGTAAGCAAAAAGATGTATCATTCCAATGTTTAGGCACTGGATTGGCATAGGCATGTCTAAAATGCCAACACCATGCTGGGAGTCCCTAAAGGCTTCCCCTAGGACTCAGAAGACATGTCCCCTTGTAATCAGGCAGGAAGAACTTGAATACAAGGCCAGAGAACTAGCTAGAAGAAAAAGAAGGTTGCCATTGGCACATTAACATGGCAACATGAGGGGAATTAGTAACCCCGGCCTAGGCCTAGCACCATGCCCAGTAAACATTAATTCCCTATCACCAAGAACCTTCACTTCAAATCCCCTCATCTACATGACTAATCCACATTGGCAGTTTGCTTTCTGGAACATGGAGTCCAGCCAAACTAAGTTAACAGGCATAAGAAGGAAACCTAAGAACAGAAGAAAGTACAACACATCAGCCATGAAAACCACAGACACATTAAGAGAATTGGACTATTGCTGATTGTTACAATGGGCTGTTAAATCCATTCAAAGTCATTTGTATTACAGAAAAGAGAAAGATCTATGTGACCTTGGTTGCCCAAGGTCACACAGAGTTTTGCTGGACTTGGGCAAGAATCTGCCTGGTTTTTTCTGCACTATACCATGAATCCTGAAAGCTAATTGCTGCCAAATACCTGTGTCCAGCCTCAGCTCTCTCCAAAGCTCCAGACCCGTGTAACCTAACAGCTCTTCAACAACTCCTCTGGACTATCTCAAAAGCTCAGCTCCTGACATCCAACACTGAACCCATGATCTTTCCCCAGTGCCAGTGTTTCATCTAGGGCTTCCTAGCTCAACAAGTGACACCATTATCCAACTGCTTCCCGAGCCAGAGACCAAGGAGTCGTGTCCAGTGTTTGAACTCCAACCCTGCCACTTCCTAGCTGTGATCTTAGGCAAATTAAATAAGGTCTCTAAACCTCAGGTTTTTTCATCTGAAAAATGGGATAACAACACTAATTACTTCATAAGATAGCTGTGGGCACTGAAAGAGATAATGTCCTTAAATTGTCAAGTCCATAGGAAATGTCTTTGCATATGCGGTTCCCTCCATCTTATCATCTGCTCCCCACTCCCACCCTGTCACCTGGATAACAGCTATGTACTCTTCTCATTCCAACTCAAATGTTGCTCTCCCTCCAGAAGCCTTCTTTGATCAGCCCCTGCCCCTCAAGGCTAGATCATACCCCATGCCCATTTTCATCCTCAAAGTACAGTGTAATTCCCACTGTTATCCCATATCATAATTATATATTTACTTTGTGGTGGTTTGGTTAATGGCCATCTCTCCAACAGCTCCATGAGGAGGTACTGTAAGCTCCATGAGGGCAGCAACTGCTAGAGTTATGCCTCATTTTTGTATTCTCAACACATTGCACTGTGTTGAGAATACAAAATAGGTGGCACTTCATAGGTGTTCACTAAATATCAGTTGAGTGAAGGGCTCAAGAAGCATATTTGTCAGCAGAGAAGGGAAACTGGGGATTAGAAGAGAAGCCACAGGATGCCAATCCAAATGAGCACCCATGACCATGCCATCCAGGGGGCTAGGTAGAAAGGGTCTGGTGAGCCCAGTCACACCGCTGTAAAGCTCAGTATGCACTGCTAGTTTGACTATCATCCTAACCATTCAGGATCTGGCCTCTGCAGACCCAGGACATACTCTGTAGGAACCTGCACAGCCACATTTTGGAGAGCTTAGGGATAAATCCCAGTCCTACTGATACCTTTTCTAACATAAACCTCACTCCACAGTGGGTGTGATTCTCATGTTTAAAGGCACATATTTTTGTACTGCAGGATCTCTAAACACAGCCAACTACTACATCTGGAGCTCAGCTGAAGAAACAATTGTCTCTTCTAACTTGGGGATAAAAATGAGCTGTACTGGCCCTGGGAGCAAATGGCATATTGGTTCTCCAATGTTGTACCAATAAGGGATTTTTTTGAGAATATTTTTTACTGCAGCCAATGTTTCTTTATGCAGCAACTCTAGAACCTAGCCTTCTTGTAATATGGGGCTCTAATGTGGTGCAAAGTAATGAAAACAGCAGGTTTTGACACTGGACGGGCCTAGACTCAAATTCTCCCTTTGTCACTGACTAGTTATGAATGAAACCTTAGGCCAGCTATTTGACCTCTCTCAGCCACAGTCAACTCACTTATACTATTAGAAGCAGCAGTAATGAGATCTTATGGTTGTAGGAAGCATTAAATATAAATAAATAGACTGTGGCTAAATTAATATCTTTAAGAAATTATTTGTACACAGAGTACCACCTTAGAAGATCAAGTTCTACACCACGTCTACAACAGTGCCCCATCCCCAGAAGGTATTTCATGAACACCAGGATCTTAAGACTTTGTTTATTCCATTCTAAACTAGCAGCCCACTTCTTCATGGGCATGTCTGACACCACTCTTGTGAGTAGAAGTGCCTGTGCAAAAATGTTCCTTCTGCCCAAGTTAGACAATTGAAATGTTATACAAACTGCCCCACTTCCTCTTGTCTTTAGTGTCAAATAGTGAACGCGAGTGCGTGCGCGCGCACACACTCACATACACACACACATCCTTCTTTGAGAATATAACTTCCCCAGCACAGGACCCAGGGACACTACACAAGGCAATAGCTGCAGACAGAGAACAAAGTAAGAGCTCTTTATCCAAAGGAAAACACTGGAGAAAGGGAAGCTGAAATTCTCTAAGCTGTGGTATAGCCAGAACAAACTGAGATATCATCTGTGCTTTCGCCATAATATTTCTTTGGTATTTATTACAAAAGGAAACAGTAGCTGCTGCCACTTATATAATAACTGTTCTCCAAACAGTATTGGTCTAAGCACTGAAAGAGAATATAGAACTACCTCTGCCTTCCAAAAGTTTACCATGTAATTAGAGAAACAAAACAAATGGAAAACAGTTAACTATGCATTAAATGAGTAATAATAAAGAATAAGGCAGAGACAAGACAGGCTGCTTTAGAAAAAGTGAAGCTCTCCTGAAGCTGGTGGCTAATGATTTGATAAGTAAAGGTAGAGGGATATACTAAAGACCAAGAAGCAGCCTAGTTTATTCTAGAGGCACTGAGAAGGGGTAGAAACATGCACAGTCGAAAATATTTAGGAATTTATACAAGCAACAAACAAGACATGCAATTTGCATGAGGGAGCAGTTTTAGATCTTCCTTGCAAGGAAAACGAGGGGCCATCAAAAAGCCATGTCCCCAAAGTCCAAAGCTTGCCTCCACTGTCCCAATGGCATAACCCTACATCATCACTTACCCGGATAAGGGAAGTCTGATGCCGAAGGGGCTTGGTTCCTGGGCCCCCTGATGAGGATCCCTCGGGCTGGACGAGAGGCTGCCTAGCTTCATAAGGAGCTGAAACAGCAGAAAGGAAAGTTAGCATGGTATGCAAAGATTCCATCCAAAAATGATGACTTCACATTCAAACTGATACAGCCTCTGCTTTTCAAGAAAGAATTGGCAACAGAATCATAAGTATATACTCATAGGGCCACCTAGGACTGACAACCCCTGATTCTCTATGGCACAATTTCACTAAACATTCAACCAATGCATGATAGGCAGAAAAATATTTACACTGAGTTAAGATTAGGAATAAATTGTGAAGGTGGAACAGTGAGAACTTCAATTGGGATAGAAAGCAACAATTGCTAGAAAAGTGTCATAAGTGTTCAAATTCCAAATATGAGGTAAATTCTGTATATACCCATTATGTGAATGTCTTCCATTGATCATCTACTTCCCCAAGAAGAAAACTATGCATTTTGAACACTAAAAACCAACATTATTTTTGAAAAATAAATCAGAATGTAAAATCATACAGAGAAAAATACAAAAGTGAATATATTTTATATTTATTATTCTACTATTCACTAATCAAACTTTTAAAAAACAATTTTGCTGCCTTTAAAAAAATGTTTTAAACCACAAAAATGAATGTATGTTTTCACCATTTTTATTTCCAGAAGACTTAATAATGATCTTGCCAATATGGCAGTTAAACATAACTAGGTAGTATGCAGCTCCAACAGAAAGCAGAAATTATTACCCAAGTTGAAATTGTTTCTCATCTCTATAGGTTAATAGTTCAAGTTTTTAAAATATATAAATAAGTAAAAATTTTTCTTTCTGTAGCTTACTTACAAATAAAATCAGGTAGAGAGCAGAGCAGCCTGCTATGACCTAATGTTTAGCATAGTTTGCTCTTTTTAAAATAAAGAAGGTACAACAATAGCACATCGAGAATGATAAATCACTCTTGGGCACATATCTGCTTTTTATATTTCTTCCTAGTAACTGGAACACAACGTTATGATACATTAACACACATTAAAATAGCAAAACAATTGCCTGGCAACCCACTAAGTGGATTTTCAGAAATTGCTAAGAATAAATACAAATATAAAAACTGCAAAACAAACATACATAGCACATAATCCAAATCTTAAAATGTAAGTCTCAGCTTGTAGGCAGCCATTGTCTTCTGAGAAATAGGATTTAAAAAATGATTCCATGCTGATGAAACACTGAATTAAACCGTTAACACCAATTGCGCTCTGCCAAAAGGCTTGAAATAAAGTAGACTGTAGCATGGCTGGGGTGCCAGTGGTCATGAGCTTTCCCTAGGAAGCAAATCTCATGTGCCTCTGCTTCCCATAAAAGCTTCTACTTCTACTTCCAGGGGAGACACATGGGGGAACAGGCCACCATCTGGCTTTTGACTTCTATCTCTCACCTACAAGGGCCTTCCCTTGGAAGAGACAAACCTATCTCATCAGTAAGGCTCAGACGAAGACTCAGCTGCATGGGGGACCATTTTTAGAGAGGCAGATTCTCTCTTCCTACTTGTGTGGGAAACCTGGGATGGCCAAGCCTGCCTGTGACTGGAAAGGTGAGTGTCTAAAGCCCATCTGGTCACAAATCTAAGACATGTGCTCTCATCATCTATATCAACAATAAATCTGATATTCAGGCTGTCATCAGTCTGACTTCTGGCTCCTTCCTCAATTGGATCTGAATTCAGGAAGTTAAAAGTAGCTATTACTCAACTCTCTTCCCAAATCAACCTCAAACATGCAATACAATGCAAAACAAATAATTCTTTGATCCCCTTACAAGAGGTTTAATAAGAACTGGAAGTACCACCTTTCTCCAAGGGGAGGTGTACCCCCCCCCAAAAAAAACCTAAAGATTTCATCATTCTAAAGTTCACTGTGAAACCAGAACTCTTCGGCATTTTCATATACAACTACCCTAAAACTGAGCGACTCTATTCCTAGGAGCCAGGGAAATGACAGCATATTTCACAAAAGAACTTGTACACGAATGTTCCTGGTACCCTTATTCATAACAGCCAAACACTGGAAACAACTCAAATGAATATATTGTCGAATTGTGGTGCATTCACACAATAGATTCCACTACTAAATAATAAAAAGGAATGAACTACTGATACAATAATACAGATAAATTTCAACCATTATGCTGAAGGAAAGATGGCAAACACATATGAGTACAGTCAGTCATTCCATGTGTTTTCATTTGTATGAAGTTCTAGAAGAAGCAAAACTAATGATGGTGATGAAAATCAGAACAGTGCTTACATTAGGGGGCAGGGAGTGACCGGAGAGGGTATCTCTGGCATAATGGATACGTTCAATTATTGATCAAAGTGGTAGCTACACAGTCCTATCCGTTTGCTAAAACGCAAATTGAAAATCTAAAACATGTGCATGGCCGGGCATTGTGGCTCACATCTGTTCTCCCAGTACTGTGGGAGAACAAAGCAAGCGGATCGCTTGAGTCCAGAGGTTCAAGACCAGCCTGGGCAATATGGCAAAATCCCATCTCTACCAAAAGATACAAAAAAAATTAACCCAGTGTGGTGGCACATGTCTGTAATCCCAGCAACTCAGTAGGCTGAGGTGGGAGGATCACCTAAACCTAGGAGATCAAGGCTACAGTGAGCCATGATCACCCCACTGCACTCCAGCCTGAGAAAGTGATACCCTGTCTCAAAAATAAATAAATTAAATGTGTACATTTTATCATATGCATATTTTACCTCACTTTTTTAAAATGTGAAAAGAAATGAAGGCATAAACAGCTTTGGCACAGGCTGCTGAGAGTCAAGAAACATGGAGAGAAGCAGGCTGCTTCGTTACCACTGGGGGAATGGAAGCCCAATTTGCATGGAATGAGGAGAGAATAGGGCATGAAGTAGGTGAAACAGAAAAGCTTTCTAAGGAATACCAAAGGTAGAACTTGCTGACAGGCTGACTCAGTAAACAAAAACAGTTTGACCTGTGAATTAAAAACCAACTTCCAAACCCAAGTAAGATTAGAAATAGAAAAAAAAAAGCCAGTCCTGAAAATATGGAAATCAGACAGGGGAAACTATAAAAGGAAAATGAAAAATTCTCAGCCCCATTAAGTTTCTGACCCCACTGAGACATTCAGGTTACAAGGACAGTGATTTGTTGTTGTTGTTGTTACTATCCATTAGCAACATCATCTTGCACGTGCATAGGACTTAATTTCCAAACAGATTTTATACTCACGTTCTAACTTAATCCTCTAACACCCCTCTAGGATACTGTTACTCCATTTTAAGAGAGAAAAGGTAATCATGGTTCAGAGATGTTCAATGGCCTGCCCAAAGTACAACAGCTAGTCACAGAAACCCATACCTTCTGCTTCCAATCAAAAGCTATTGCCATTATGCCATGCCTGCTTCTCTGCAAGATCACAGCCTCTCTTCATTCAGCCTAGCACGCAGTTTTATTTCTGTGTCCCTCTAAAAGTCACCACTATTTTTAATGCAGTAAAAACCTGCAGAAACTGGGTCATTTGGGGCCACAGCCCACAAAATAAAACAGGAGAGTTGCAGATATCCAATTCTAGAATACCTTTAATTGGTCATATCTTAATCTAGGAGTCTGAACCCCAGGAGGACAAGATGCTGCAGTGAATTTCCAGTGCTTTAGGCACTGCAGCCTGAGCAGCCAACTCTGCAAGTCATCCTCAGAACTAACGTATTTTACCACCTAACGAGGCCAGCAGAGCATAAATGTGAGCAAGAAGACAACCCCACAACTGTGCATGCAACATACTCCTCAGCAAAATGTTACCCTAGCATTTCCTTTAGCCTTATTCCAAAGCATAAAACCTAAATATTTTCATTTATGTGCTCGGTCTTCAAAGATCAACTCTTTTGCTTTTTTGGTTATATTTCTTAAGAAATTTCATTAAAGCAGTTACTATATAAATATGTCTGGTGTGTTTGCAGAAAGAAATAACAATTCCAAAAAAATACACACCCTTAACATGGTATGTTCTGTTCAATAAAATCCATTTATGAAAGATTAAATCATCTAGTTGTTAAAAAGTCTAAAGATGAACTAGTTTCTAGGACAGGAAACAAAACATTACTCAGATATGTTTAAATCCATTTAAAAAAAAAAAAAAAAACCTTGCTTGAGAATATAAAATTAAATTGAGCCATGTTTCCAAAGACAGGGGTAATTAAATCAGGAAATTAAACAACTTGAAGCATTGCTGCCTGGTAAATTAAGGAGTCGCTAAGACACTGCCTGGGACAGCTGGCCCCCAGGTCGCCCCTTACCTGGATGCATCTGTTCTGCGCTGCTCCGCAGTTTGCTGTAGCCATGGCTCAAGGGCACCCTCTGGTAATGAGGCGGGGAAGAAGGAGGGGAGGCGAGGGGTGACATCGTGGGAGACTGTGTTTCCTGCTTCAAAGAACCAGATCAGAGTTCAGAGGCGATCACTCAAGCCTGGCATTCTCAGCCGCAGTCAGGAAGCATAACGCAGCTCTACTGCTGGTGACCCAGCTGATTTAACAAATGGGGGGAAATGTTTCTCAAAAAATGCAGCATAGTTAAACAGCAGTGTCTGAGGATTCAAAAAGTCTCCCAGAGAATAAAATGTTATCAGTGCTGAGTTACCTAAATTACTAAAACCAGCCTGAAACATTTTTGGTTATTCCAGTATTTTCCTTTGGAAAATGAAAGACACTGATCACATGAAATAAGATTCATACCCCCTCCTAACTGTGATCTCTCTGTGGATAGATTTCATTTTCTATCATTAATAAATTTATTTCCTGGATTTATACTTATCAAGTCTACCAGCAAATGTGAATATTAAAATATATTTTTAAGTGCTTAATATTCTTGGAGCTTACTACGTCGAAGTAAAATGCTAGCTTTTTTTTGACGATGAGAGATTGCAAAACAATTCATTATAGGTAAACCGTTCCAACCAGCTTACTCCCAAATACTAAGGTGAAATCTTAACAAGCTACAATATGAATCTCAATTCAAATATGAACCTGATGTAGAACCGTAGGCAAAGTAAGCAACCTTATCTGCTGCTGTGTTTCCTCTTTAAAAA